CATCACCTTAGACGAAATAGGGTGAACACATCTCATTACACTGATTTACTGGTAGTCTCGAAACCCTACTTACTTACAAACCGATTTGTTTTCATCTAGTCTACATAGTACATTGAGTCATTATTGTTTACTAATGCCCTCGGCACAGTTCCTAAAGGTTCTCGGCTCTTAATGAGACTTGGGATTTCATCATTCTTCACTTATCATTTGATCACTTCTTCAATTGCTAGCCTTTCATCGAATCGATCTCAAATTTGTTTGCTCTTAAGCATTATTGCTAACTTATCTGTTCTTTTTCATTCGTTTATAGAGGACGGAATTCGCCTCTTGCTTTTTTATGAGCCTACCTTAATTGAGTAAACTTAAAAAATAATATTTTTAGCTGCGGTCTGTTCGGATTCGCTGGAAGCAATGGTGGAATTGGCCAACTTGCGTGGCCAAATCATCATCAGCCCTACAGCCGAATCTGCACGAATACTGAAGAAAAACAAAAGGAAATTTTTCTTCAGGAACATTCCTTCTATGCTTCCAGTAAAGTGAGTCCTTTTTTTAGTCGATATCAAATAATCTATTTGGTAAAGAGTCATCTATGCATATGTCTAGGTATCAGTAGGTGATATATTAGTCTTTCAAATTTTGCATAGCTTTTCATAACCTGTAAATGTCATTTTTAAAAAACTAGAGCTATCCTTACAAAACTCGCATGGCTGTTTATTAATTTCTGATCTGCTCTATGCAAAATCAGAGATCAAGGATTAGCTACTGCATTTTCCAAAGGAGTTAGATTATTTTATTGATGCTGGCGGAATTGTATCCTTATTCCCGTCTAGTTTTCTTTTAGGATAAAGCTTAATCGTCTGAGGCGCTTTAAGAATTGGAACTTAAGCAACTCATTATTTCAGAATTCGTCTCATTGTTTAACGAGAAACCTTTTAATTCTACGTAGTCAATATCTTCCAGACACAAAAAGCCCTCGCCCATATAGCTCTTACTCAACTCATGCATAATCATATATATCTTTCTTAATGAATCTTACCAGAATTACATATTATTTATGCTTTTAAGCATTCGGTTTGCATATTATGTACTGTGTTTGAGTACCTTATTTTTACACTTATTGCACCTATTTATCACCAATATTATATCATATAATTACATCCATCTTTTTTTTGCTATTCTATGTTGACGGGTTGTTTATGGCTTGATTTTCAGATTATTTCATAACATTCATCCCAGCCCTTTCAGAATTTTTTTTAATGGACCTAGCTACGTAAAATACAGCTTAGTCTGAATCTTTTTCACTGTAAAATCTAAGAACCCTGATTTCGCCTCTGCCCTGCGTTTTTTCATTTCATGGAGACGAGGTCCTTAGCATTACGTTCTGAATAGTTAAATAGCGCTAATTCATTTTTTACATGTCTTAATCATCTAAAAAATATAAAATATTTGGTAACGTCTTGACTACTGTATTTTACATTCTTTTTTGCTTCACTTTTAGCTACCTTTTCATCAATATTTCACGCACTTATAATTGGCGTCGTGTGGTTGTACTTCGTAAGGACGATCATTTCTTCAATAAACGCATATTTGAAGCAGAAGGAATTGATATTATAGAGGACATAGAGATCGAAGAACATGAGCTGACCTACGCCTTGGCCTACAGCGTAAGATCTCCCGATTTAATTTATGTTTTTGAAAAAAAGTGATAACCAACTAATATACACATTATCTACAGAATATGGTGCAAAATAGATGATTACCTTAAATTGGTGGTTTAAATATCTATAAAATATAATATTACATGAAAGCTGATATGCCTTATAAATTATTTAACGAAAATTTTTTGGGAGTTTTATTATTATGCAGTCCATTGAATGCTATTCCTGCAACATTCGTCCGACTTGCCTATTTACTTTGTATTCATTCGAATTATTTGCACTATCACTATCTTTTTTGCTAGAAACTTACTTATTCCTTCATGATTGTATTGTCTCTTGAAAACCATCGTTTAATCCTGGTCTTTTGCAATCGCTTTATCGGTCTTCTTCTCACTCATCTTCAATAATCTAGATTTCGACATCCTCTGAGATAGTTTCGAAATTTATGCTTCAAATATTTTTTATTACTGTTATATTGTTAATTATTAATCACATACTATTTCCTAAGAACCTGATAAATGTGTTTTACTAGCAACTAACTCGTTTTTATTTGGAATACTTTCTTAAAAAAAGAAGACTTGATAATATCAATTTAGAATTAACTTTGACATTTTATTTCTCGAACCAAATGAAGTATGCTTTTCGTTTTTAAGTAGGTTTTCGAGACTATTAGTTGAGTACCTCAATTTGTTCAAGGTTAGGGGGTTTACCCGTGAGATGTAGGATATAAAATTAAAGGCAATAGGTATAGGTGAGCTAGATAGAGATCACCAGTGTGTGCGTAGGTGTAATGTGTATTTTTCGTATCTCTGTCTGAAGGGGAGGGGACTGGGGACAGGCTTGACCACGGGAGATACCAGCCAGCAGACATAGGAACATTATCCCAGTACCCAAGGCTTAAATGAGA